ATTAAAATACCAAGATGGCTATCTGTTGTTATAAAGATGTCAAGTAGATGAAGTCATTAAAGGCAGGCTCAGTTGCCAAACACAGTGACATTTTAGACACCTCAGGCTAATTGTCCAAGAGGTGGCCTGGCAGATAGGACAGAAAAGCTGTCAGGGACCTGCATGCTCTAGTTCAACAGCTAGGACACAAACTGCCACTAAGTGCCTGCTTTATGTTCATGATCCCCACCCTGAATTTTCAAATTATTTGTTTGAATCAAGAACTTCAGCTGTACACTATACTTACATAAAGACTGCAGTATTAAAATATATCCTACTGGTGTTTTATTTAGGTTTAAGGTGAAATCACTCCATAATGCTGGCCAAATAATTTTAAAATTATGCATAAAGTATATACAGGTCACTTGGTGACCACGTATAACAACAAAAATATGTTAATTGATGGGTTTTGTCAGTGTTAGGTTGACAGTTGGACTAGACGTCCTCAAAGGTCCCTTCCAACCTAGGCAATTCCATGATTCTATGTGGAGGAAAACCTTGCTAAAATATAAAAGGCAGATCTTTTCAGTTCTGCATGAGCCCACAGACACCTAATAGCTCCATGGGATTGTGTGCTTTATGTATAAACAATGTGCACAGACTTAACAGTGCTCCATGGAGACTCCACTATCAGGCAGACACAGCAGAGGCATCTCAAGATCACTCGCAGGAGTGATAAGATTCATTAGCAGAATGTTTTTACTTAGGAAAACACTAGATAAATAATAACACTAGATTAATAAGTCAGTTTACTGATCAGGTCCCTACTAGACAGCCTACCACAAGGTAAACACACACAAAGCAGCGGCACTATGTCAATATGTGTTCTACAATGCCGTTTTATTCACGTGCCTCTGTAATCTCCCCGGCAGAAAGGAGTCCAGAGGCTTAACCAGAGCTTGCCAGTATCTTTCTCCCAGATTTCACATGAACACTTATAGCTGCGTTTTTCAAACTACATCAGACCCCAGACCCATTTGGAATCTGTAGGTAGAATCTTCCATTGCACAAAAAGGGAGGCAAATGGTGGAGATTCAGCTGCAACTTAACCATCGTGTGGTTTTGTTTTGTTTTTTAAACTTCAGTTTCTTCTGAATAAACCCTACATAACTCATGTTTATGAAGACGAAGTTAAATATATGATTTCTAAATTCAGCAGTTACTTTAAAAACTCTGTATTCCTACCTCCATTGACACAGATCCTAATTAATCCTTTCAACCTTACGACAATTGAAAAATTTTGTCTTCAAATGTCTGTATGTACATGAATGCATATTATGCATGAGAAGAACATTTATTGAAGTAGATATGAAAATGTTAATTTTAATTTTGTGTTCTGTAAACTTTTGCTATTCATTAATAGTAATTTTAATAGCAGATGCTGATATACTGGAAAACACAAATTCCATTTCATAACTATTTTTGTATTTCTTGTATGAGTGCAGCTAACTTGAAAACACCTTCAGTAACTTCACATGAAGCTGAAATGAATACTTCTAAAAGTGCTTGAGATTAGGTTGTGTCATTTCTCTGAAAAGTTCATCTTTGTAGAATACATGCAAACACACGCGTGCTGAGTTAACTAACCATTAAATGGTGGACATTATGTCAGATTTTATAGGCTGCAGAATAAAGTCTGTGCAAAGATACTTAAAGATGGTAACTAGGGACAAAGGACAGACCTGCCTCTCCATCCTATGCCAAGAGAGTATATACACTAATAACACTTTCCAAGGCTCTTGATTCACAAGGAGAAAGGAGACAAAAAAGAAGCTACTTTCCTTTTGCTTATTACACATCTTTCATCCAGCAATTACTTATCGATAAGATTATTTCTCCGTTAGAAGACAAGCAGGAAACTATTGATAATTTTAACACAAAATAAAATGTTAATACGGGTAAACATTATATCCAGAGCCTCAGCTTACAGTTCTGGAGTGCTCTAATGCTTGCTTTAAAGTAGCTTCTGCTCCAGAGGCCATCGATCAAAGCAGGCACAGCTCTACTGCTGGCTCCAAAGTAACCTGGCAGGTGGGGACCCAACATCCCACTAGGTTTTAAAGTGAATCAGTTATACATGTTGAAGCAAAAGTCCTTGGAATTTCTTTAAAACTGTGCTTCTCATTATGGGGCTGCCTTCAAAATAGACACAAGAAAACAACATACAGTGAATTTTTAATGAAACTTTGAAAATACACCATTCTGTTCGTAATTTGGTGCTACATTGTTATCCTTCTGCATGAAAAAATGTTACTTCTGTTACTGAGGGTTTGCCCAACTGGAGTCATAATCTTCTTCTTGACACATCAGCTTGCTACAGAAATTCAGACTGCAACATTACATACAGGACTGTTGCTTCACATTTCCATAGGAGAACAAGTAGCAGAAGTTAATGTGACAAATCATGAGGAAAAATCCACTTCTCATGCAAGTGTATTCCATAAAAAGGCAGGAAAGAGGAGTTCAGTAAGCATGCCTACATACACACAAGCCTGTAATGTCACATACCAAGACACATACAGCTGATATCAAAGAAGGAATATTCTCACAGTTGCCAGGCTAAGAACTTGAAAGTTAGGGAAAGCCAGAATTAACACTGTTTATACAAGAGCTCGTCCTTCATCCTGCTCACCTACTCAGCCTCACTCTGCTTTCTCAGTTCCTGTTTCCTTGTACAGCAAACTTTCACCCTTCTAACTCTCTCTCGGTATCTTCCCCTCGGTCTTAGGCTCTTGCCCAGCCACCTCAGCTCCCTTTCCTCAGATCAGCCTTCTCCCTCTGCTCCCCAGGCTCTTTAACCACAGCCTGACCTTCAGTCCCTCTTAGCCCCACTCCACCCTCAAGCCTTTGCTTTAGAGCCAAAGTCCCCCTAACACCAGATCCTTTTCCAACAGTTGCATTTCTTTCTCTTGAGTACTGGATCCCCCCAAAATACTTCTTCCTCACATTCAACCTGGTTTACAGAACATGTTTTACCTTATTCTTGTTAGAAATACTGTTGTCTTCTCCCTTTGCCTTATGAAAATTCACTATTCCTCCCCCCACCCAGAACGGGGCAGTACGAGAGGGGTGTCAGTGCTGCAGCTGAGCCTGGACTTGTACGCCTGAAGAATCTGACTTGTCAACAGATAAAGAGTTCCCTCAGAGACAGCAAAGACAAGTGACCAGTCACTCAATGTTAATGACTACTAGTCATGTCAGGTAGAGCAGGTGAAAACAGCATGCTGGAGTTGGTAAAAACCAAAAATAAAGTGACATGTCCAGGTCTTGTGCTAAGATTACCTTCTGAGTAAGTAGGTGAAACCTGGGACTGATTCTGGACAGAGAAGCAAACCATGTCATCATGGACATACATACAATCCTTGTTCCTTAATTTAGGGATGCTAAAACACTGATTAATGAGTTTTGGCTTTGGTTAAAAGTTTATTCCACATTGCTGCGAAGTACCTGCTGGCTGCATACAGATCTGTCCTCCTGGGGAACTCGCTGCTTTTTTCTGAACTTTTAAAATAAATTTGCCACAGACAAACTGTGACCAAAACCCAGAGCTCCCTATTCTAGAAATAGTTTTAACCCTAAAAAAGTATGTTTCCAGAAGGCATGTAGGATGTTTGGAGAAAAGAACACCTTCCAAGTTCCCTGGGCCAACCACTCCCAGATTTTCCAGCTTTCAGTTCCCTTCTCATCTCCTCTTCTGCTTTTTAATTCAAGTCCTTTCCAATCTACTCATCATGTCACTTCTCAGGAGCCAGCAAAGAAAGGATAATCAAGAAGACAGAAGAGATAGTCTGGACTGAGCATACCTGGAAGAGTTGTAAGCTACAACTCAGGCTGGTGCATGCCCCATGCAGACAGAACCTCTGGAGAAATTAAGTACTAAACACCAGCAGATTTTCACAGGAACTACCAAAAGGAATCTTGCTCATCAAACCCAAGGTACTAAAAATGTCAAATCATTGGTCTCTAGCCTCTGGTTTCATCAAGATATGGTCAACAGTTTGTTTGATTTATTTATTGCAAGAAAAACATTCTTCTCACAGATGCCCACGCTGTTTTAGTTGACATTTCTGCAAAAGATATGCCTAGCCTAAATTTTACAAAATCATTTAACACTGACAGTTTCTTCTGATAGGTGTTGTCAGGTAACCTTAAGGAACAGTGCTACTGGCCTTTCTTGTTATTACAATCAGGAAAAATGAAGTTAACTGTTCAACATTTTTAATATACATATATGTATATATAGAAAAATCTAAAACAATGTTGAACAGTTAATTTCATTCATATATATAAATGAAATTAACTGCATATACACAGACCTTATATACATGTCTTTGTGTATCTATTATACATTTTTATATATATTATATATATAGCAATTTCCTCCACATTTCCCTGGAGGTATTAGTAGATTAAAAACAACCGACTATTTAAAAAACTCTGAGATCAATGTTTATGTTATTCAGGAAATGAACTAATAATTTTTCTCATTCACTTGAAAGAGTAATCATTTAAAAACCTATGGAAAAGTATCTGCTTTATGCCATGATTAACAAATCCCTCTCTCTTAATATGGCTATAACTTAATAGACTAAAACTCATACTGTTTCACCAGATCATCCTACATATCATCCTGAGTATTATTCAAGGCTTATTTGGTATTTTTACAAATCAGAATCCTAGCAGTCAATATCTTGCACATAAACCTATATTCAAAAGTACATAAATCAAAGAAGAAAGTCAATTTGTAACTACAAAATAATAAATACTCAAATGGAAATCAAAGAACACACAGATTAATTTATTTATTATAATTTAATTTAAAAGTAGTAGTATAAGGGATAAAGAATAGGAACAGACTGCACCACAACGTTTAAAATTCAGAACAGAAAAAATGTCATGTTGGTAACTTAAGCCTATTAACACATATACATAAATAATACATACACCTCCTGCCATCTTACCAAGGTATTTCTCCCTTTCTTCTCTTCTCTCCTTTGCCAGTCTTTGTCTTTCATCGGTTTTTAGAAATCCATCAATGGCTGAAGTCAGAGAGAAAAGAAAAAAAAGTGTTAAAAAAGCATTAGTAAAACTAAAGAAGCATTAGTGTTGGACTAGAACCATGATAAAAACCCTAAAAAAATCCAACAAAAATAAATCATATCTACTGCGTTTAACAACTCCAACAATAAAAGTGATTTTGCACTTGTATGCGGGTGGGTCAAGGAGCTTGGATTTCAATGCATCTTGAGTTCCATCTCCTACCTACTGCTGAGCTCCAAGCACGGTTCCTCGGTGTAAACACCCAACTCCTCTTCCCAGAGCAAACAGGCATGCTGTTAGTGCTCCCTTTAAAACTTAAAACTTTCTTGGGAAAAACCATAAGGATACAATTAAGGTGCATTCATTTTTGTTAGTAACGTCATTTTAAAGTTTTTGGTTAAAAAAAAGGAAGTGGTAGTTCAGGAAAGCAGTAAAAGCAGTATGCAGCTCTCTTACAGTCTGATGTTGAGTCCCAGCCTTCATATTTATGGCTTAACACAGCCCCACAGCTTCCTTGCCCACAGGAAACCACCAGCACCAGCTCATTATAACCTCATTTTAAAGTTTTTGGTTAAAAAAAAAGGAAGAGGTAGTTCAGGAAAGCAGTAAAAGCAGTATGGTAACGTCATTTTAAAGTTTTTGGTTAAAAAAAAGGAAGTGGTAGTTCAGGAAAGCAGTAAAAGCAGTATGCAGCTCTCTTACAGTCTGATGTTGAGTCCCAGCCTTCATATTTATGGCTTAACACAGCCCCACAGCTTCCTTGCCCACAGGAAACCACCAGCACCAGCTCATTTCAACAACCAGCAATTAGTGCTGGACGAGGCTACAGCGGCAGCAGCCCTCCTGCCCTCTTTTCCAGGTAGGAAACACTTTGTTTCCTCCTTGAATTGGGACCTAAAAGCAGGTTACTTGTTTGGGAGGAGGTTGCCTAAGGATGTTTTGTACCTGGATCCAGACACCCCAGTTCTTCGCACAGGATGAGCCACCAAAAAGCCCAATATAAGAAGGCAGGTATGCAGAGGTGACACATGATATGCCTCAGGGTCACTTGCCCACATGTCCTGGAATGAGCAGCCAGATGGACCTTAGATGGACCTTCTGCAATACCACAGGTAAAGCTCACCAGTGAGTGACTTGACAGACCAGCTAGAGGATGGTATCCTTTCAAAACAGCTGACAGGACCTCCAGTGCCCTCCTTTCTCTCTTTGTTTTCAGGATCTCCTGGGGTCTTAGCAGGGCTGCAGCGCAAACATCGCACAGCTTACATCCTCTGCAATCATTATTTGGGCTCCCTACCGAGTTACTGGAATTATAATTAAGTCCCCTTCCTTTTTGCTCTAAAAACTTCAGTTGTTAATTTTATCAGATAAATATGAGTGGAGAAGTTACTTAGACTGTAACCCCGACTCTCTTCCTGAGAAGTCCCACTTGCTCCTCTCTGAGGGCATTCTGTCTGCGGGAGCAAAGATTTTGCATAGCAAGTGCCTTTCTGTTGAACACACGGTTCTGTAGGAAGGCTGAAAACCAGCCTCGGTGGTCCCTTGTGACTGCTGAACAGCACAGGCCCCGACTATCTTCCTGAGAAGTCCCACTTGCAGGCTCCTCTCTGAGGGCATTCTGTCTGTGGGAGCAAAGATTTTGCACAGCAAGTGCCTTTCTGTTGAACGCACGGCTCTGTAGGAAGGCTGAAAACCAGCCTTGGTGGTCCCTTGTGACTGCTGAACAGCACAGGTCTCAGCTGTGCCCCATTAGAATAACAGCTTGCTTTTTCCCCAAGCAGCACCTTCAAACACCACCTCTAATCCTCCCTCTGCGCACACAGACGGCGACTACCTGACAGCAGCCAGGCCTCTGGAAAATTGCGATTATAGCTCCCAGCTGGTTAATTACAAATAGAATTTGTGGGTCAAATACAGATCTATTCATTACCAAAGACTCCACAACTAGTCCACTCTTGTTTGTCTGCTTGGCTGCCGTGTACTGTCAGATTTGATAAGGAAGGAGGAGAGAAGAGAAGCCAGCTCAGTAAGGCAAAAGGTTTGCAACTACTTTGAAGGGGCCTGCAATAAGTAGCCAAGAAGGGGAATCCTGTTGTCAGCATAGTTAAATTACAGCTCCAATGGGAAGTTTTTCAGCGATGTGAAAGTCAAAACATCATAAAACCTACAATTTAGGCTAGAAGCAGCCGAGGAGGTGAAATCAAGACTGGATCAAGAGCCCGAAGAGGGAAGACTGAGCTTGGGAGCAAAGTGGAGGCAGGAGAAGGGGAAAGAGGCAAGCAGAGGCAGCAGCTAAGGTCTTCTGCAAGCAAGGGATGTAACTCGGGTGGAGAGGTGGAACCTGAAGTATGGAAACCATGATGGGGATAAGCTGGAGTGATGGGGAGAGGAACAGCAAGACAGTCCATATCTATGGATTATGTTCACAAATTCCTGCACTGACTCTCACCACACTCCTGCTTTCAGCAACTATAAAACCCACTGGCAAAAATACACCCCATTTTGCTTCTCAGTATAATTACAGAAACTTATCTCTACTTTGATTCTCTTTGATACTCTACACGAACATGACTAGCAGAAGTAGATCTAAAAGCTCTGGCCTTGCTCACAACTGCCACAGTCAACCTGAAAAATTGTGCATCAACCTTGGATAGCTTTCTCAAGAGTCTGGATGTCTCAACAACCCCTAAGTAATATTAAAAGATCAAGGCTGTAATGCCAGATACATAAGAAATGAAAATATGTATCAGAATTGAAGCAGTCTGCACAACCCTTATTTTGCTTCATTTTACACATATATTATACATTTTTTCCTTTTAGGTCCCTTCATTTATTCATTGCATAGGATGAACCTCCTCAAGAAGTGAACCAAGTTCAAAGTGATTACAGCTTTTTGCTTAATTTCCTTCTGAAACTGGAAAGTAGGCAGAACTATAATCTGAAGTCTGTCTTGGAGAACAGCACTCCAGACTTAGCTACGTCACAGGTGAAAAAACAAATACACAGAATCGTTGCCCACTACATGTGCAACACATCGATGTGCAAAAAAACGTGTGGAGGAAAATAGTACATGATCTAATAAATAGATTAGGCAGGCATCAAATGCACATGCATGCAACAAGGGTAGTATTAAAATAGCACAGGCATCCTCAGTACTAGCATTTCTGAACACAAGTACTTGACTTCACAAATCAGCATGCCTGCCAAATATCAGAAATTTGCTTGCCTTCAGAAAGTAAATATAGCTTTGAAGGACAGAATAACTATCCCTGGGTAATAAATTGTACCTTGGGATGATTTTTTAAGGCCAAAATTAGTGTATTTATTACACATCCTCATATAAAATACATTATAACTGTAACGGGCACAGCAGTTACCTGTGGCAAGAAACCTGATTAATGACAAGAATTCAAATTGTGTTTGGTAAAGCAGACTGCAAACAGCAAGCTAGCACAGGTAACACTACCATGAAAATAATATTTCATAACACAAACTGCCAGCAGAGGGCAGAACAAGGTTTAAATGAAAAAGAAAACCCCACAGCAAAAGTGCTTTCCCTGTGGTAAGTGACCTCAGGTTAATATTCTGTATACTCAGCTTTATCCTCAGCCTTCCTCATATTTACAGTGCCCCTTAGAAAGGCACGTAGCAGCAAATGACATGCTAATGAGTCAGGATGTAAACACAGGTTTATTGTGCCTTCTCCCAGCCAGAGTAACGAATACACAGAGACACTGGCAGAACGTTCTCTAATATCCCTTTATTCCCAAACTTGCAGAAGAAGGAAACTGTTCAAGTAACAACATCAAAGATTTTACTGTAAAGAAGCACGCACACCCACAAAACTGCTGCTACTTCTACTACTCCTTCTCCCAGCCCTCCCCAAAAGCCCCTTTTACAAAGAGTCCCCACTCTCAAAGGCACGTGTCTAACCGCTGGGCTAAATCCTTAAGATTGTGCCTCATTTTTTGACTGAAGAAGGCCTGCTGCTCCTCTGGGACTATGTTACAACAAGCATTACTGAAGAATAGTGCCGTAACATACCAACTAATGCTGCAGGACTCTTTCAATACTTTAATGTTACTTTGAAATAAATATTCACAGAAGCAAAACCTGACATGTTAATCGCTGCTTCAACCCTTTTTTGACAGGCAAGGTAAACCTATTCCGACTGATGAAACAGGGCCACAACATGTCCACACACACTCTGCTCTGCTCCACATACCGCTTGCGTAAGCTTCTTGGTGGTTGCTTAAGACAGAGAGGAAGGTTGTCCTGTCCCGATGAGACACAAGGCAAGGTCTGTCTTTTGAAATCTGTATTCTGTTTCTGATTGAGAAAACAAGTCCTCCAGCAGGACAATCAGGTTACTGGAAGCTGAGAACTACCAACTGGATGCTTGGACACCTCCTCTCCTGAAATTTGCACCTGAGTAACTGCCAGCGGGTAAGGCCTCCATTCATTTATTTTTATTTTTCTACTTTGCTGTTGAACCCACATACACTTCTGTCCTCTATAATATCCCACAGTATTTGTTTTCACAATGTATCTATATATAGCAGATATCAAAGCCTTTTCTAGCAGGCATCCCAACACAGAAGGAAAGTCAGCTGGGGATATGAGGCCAGCTCTACGTAACAGTGTTCAACACACCTAGACCTTTGGCCATCCTACGTGACCACATTCAACACATTGAGACCTTCGCCCATTCTACATGACACCATCCAACATTTTTAGACCTTTACCACAGTATACATCACCTACACTGTCATTGCTGTGTTGGTGATATTCCCAGTTTGAATGCAGTTCTGCCAATGGCCTTGCCAGGGATGTGGTGAGGTGGACCAGCCCAAGATATCACTGTACTTACACCCACTGTTCCATTGGCAAACTCTGCTGTTTCAAATAATATAATCTCAATCGATAAAATCAAGGCTTTGCTCCCTAAAAACTTGCTTTCTCTCCCTTGAGACTGTTCTTTGAGACAATAAAGAACAGA